TCCTAATTCAGGAAACCATAAAAAAACTTAAGTATAAATTAGAACAGCAAATGGAGAAATGGAGGGATAAGGAGATATTATTAGACCACGTGAATTCAAGATGATGATTATACCACATATGCTAAATTGTGATGTACCGAACGGTTCGCCGGCGAACGGTTCCTGGCGAACATAGCATGTTCGCGTTCGCCACGGCGGGCGAACATATGCGCGGTTCGACCCGCCCCCTATTCGTCATCATTGAGTAAACTTTGACCCTGCCTCACAGTCAGCAGACATTCAAAGCCAATTAGCAGCACAGCCTCTATAGCCCTCCCACCTACTGGACACAGCCTCCGCATTTTAGATTGTTCTCCAGGCTGCATGCTTAGCGAAGGAGGAAAGTGTGGCATGCTGTTCATAAGATAGGAAAACATAAAGCTAGGTTGGGATAAGGGTATGCTTTTTTTTTATTTATTTTTTCTATGTAATGTAATTGCACTTAGTTGTCTGCCACTACTGCCAGCTTCTGTGTCAGGCTCACAGTGCATACTGTGCCCATTTCCCCAGTCAGTGCCACCACTTACATCTGGTGTCACAATAGCTTGGATTTAAAAACAAAAAACTTTTTTCACTGTTATAGATTGAATAGCAGTCAGTTGTCTGCCACTGCTGCCAGCTTCTGTGTTAGGCTCACAGTGCATACTGTGCCCATTTCCCCAGTCAGTGCCACCACTTACATCTGGTGTCACAATAGCTTGAATTTAAAAACAAAAAACTTTTTTCACTGTTATAGATTGAATAGCAGTCAGTTGTCTGCCACTGCTGCCAGCTTCTGTGTCAGGCTCACAGTGCATACTGTGCCCATTCCCCAGTCAGTGCCACCAATTACATCTGGTGTCACAATAGCTTGGATTTAAAAACAAAAAACTTTTTTTACTGTTATAGATTGAATAGCAGTCAGTGTCCTTAAAGCGGGTGTGTTACGCTAACAGTGGATACGCTGACAAGTGCCACTAATTAGATCCTGTGTCACAATAGCTTGGATTTAAAAACAAAAAACTTTTTTTACTGTTATAGATTGAATAGCAGTCAGTGTCCTTAAAGCGGGTGTGTTACGCTAACAGTGGATACGGTGACCAGCAGGGCCGGATTAACATAGGGGCTGATGGAGCTGCAGCTCCAGGCCCAGGCCCATGGAATAGGCCCACTGATTTATAAAAAAAAAAAAAAAAAATTTTTTTTTTTTTTTTCCCACACACACTACTCTTAGGGATTCCACCTGGCTTTTATTTTATTGGCACAGCCAGTATTTGAGGCTGCCTGGCTGGTGCCAATATTGCAGTGATACTGGCAATACAAATGCTGGTATTTTTCTCAGTATAAACAAGAGATTACTATGCAATACCAGCACTGGCCAGTAGGGGTCACTGTGTGTGGAGACAGGCAGGGATAGGAAGTTCCAGCATATGCCTCCCTGCCTATCTATACTCACTGATCTGCAGGGGTGAAGCTACAGAGAGTCCAGACAGCAACTCCCACCCTGCAGAGACAGCCTACAGCTCAGGGAAGTAAGGGATGTGGGGGAAAGGCTGCAAGAAGACATGGGGACACTAAGACACTAAGGGACATTGGGAGACATTATGACACAGACACATGTAGACACAGTGTCCCCATGTCTCCTAGTGTCCCCATGTCTCCCAGCCAGTGTCTCTGGTGTCTCTGGTGTCTCAGTGCCCCCTAGTCTCCCAGTGCCCCCAGTCTGCCAGTGTCTCACCGTCCCCATGTCTCCTAGTGCCTCCATGTCTCCCAATGTCCCCATGTCTCCAAGCTAGTGTCCCTAGTGTCTGTGGCCTTGGTGTCTCCATGTCTCCCAGTACCCCATGTGTCTCAATACCCCCATGTCCCCCAGCCAGTGTCTCTAGTGTCTGTGTCCCCATGTCTTCAAGTGTCCCCTATTTTCCCAGTGTCCCCATGCGTCCCAGCCAGAGTCCCTTAGTCTCCCAGTGTCACTGGTGTCTGTGTCCCTAGGTCTCCCCAGGTCTTACCGTCTTCCTAGTGACATGGGGACCCTGGGATACATGGGGACACAGGGAGACATTGGGCATTGAGACACTGTGATACATAGGATCACTGGGAGACCTGGGGACATGACACTAGTGGACACTGGGAGACATGGGGCACTGAGACACTGATACATAGGAACACTGAGACCTGGAGTAATCGACACATGGGGGCACTGGGAGATATGGGGACATGACACTAGTGGACACTGGGAGACATGGGGCACTGAGACACTGATACATAGGAACACTGAGACCTGGAGTAATCGACACATGGGGGCACTGGGAGATATGGGAGGAATCCATCTATACAGCCGAATCAAACTAAGTAGTTTGTTGGTGATTTTACAGCATTTTCTCTTATGTCACTCCTTGTGATTTACATCATGTGATGTCACCCATACATATTTAATTATGCAAATTAGCAAAGCCAGTATGTTTTTCCAAGAAAGGTGGCAACCCTAACTACTTTTCACATACTCTTACATAAGTATGGAAACTTAAGAGGGATGTATGGGAACAAAACTTGTGTGGACTGGCTGACAATGAATATAGTTAAAGGGACACTAGAGTCACCAGTACAACTACAGCTTATTGTCATTACCATGTGGATTTTTGCTTTAAACACGGTCTTTTCAGAGAAAATGCAGTCTTTACATTACAGCCTAGTGATAACTTCACTGGCCACTCCTTAGATGTAGATCCTTCCTGGGTCATGGCTGCCTAAAATGCATCCAAAAATTCAGTGTCTCCTCCCTCTGCATGCAGACACTGAACTTTCCTCATAGAGATTCATTGATTCAATTCATCTCTATGAGGAGATGCTGATTGGCCAGGGCTGTGTTTGAATCATGCTGGCTCTGCCACTGATCTGCCTCTTTGTCAGTCTCAGCCAATCCTATGGGGAAGCACTTTGATTGGATTAGGCCACCACTTCTAATGATATCAGCAGACTGCTTATTTTTCTGAGTCTAACAGCATGCAGAGTTACAGCTTCAGTCTTGAATACAGTAAGATTTTGCTGTATTTATGGAGGCATGAGGAGCCCAGGGGGCTAGATGGTGGTGTTAACACTATAGGGTCATGAATTCATGTTTGTGTTCCTGACCCTATAGTGATCCTTTAAGGTAATGCTGACTTTGGTCTCTCTAACACTGTGGCATATTCCCTTTCTTCTACACTCACTACATACAGCTTTTCTCTGACCCAGACTATATACCAGGAGCTTCTGCCTGCTAGTAAGAAGGTAAGGAGACAAGTGGACCAGCGAGTGCTAGGGGACAGTCCTTAGAAAGCATTGAGCAAGCGCATCATTAGATGCATTTATGCCAAGCTCAGGGTGCTGTCTGCATAGTATGCCCTTAGTTGGCCAGCTGCATGATTGGCAGGAAGCCTGACATGCATTCATGTCAGGCTGGCCTTCTAATTCTTTGAGCAGACATGTCCTCTTTTTGGGCATGTTCACCCCTTTTGGCAGTTTATGTGATTTGTGTCAGTGGCACACCCTTTTACCATGCCCATTGACTTCCTGCTTGACTGGACACTGCTGTTAGGGGTTATGGATTTACTTGAAAGATGAAAACATAAATTAGAGAGAGATTAGCCTAGGGTATGTGTTTTCTTATAGCTGCTGTTTTATTTCTCTCCAGAACCATCTCCATCAGATACATGACGCTTGGGAGTGTTTTACTGTTTTTGGTCGATATGATTCTGTAATTAGGTCCTTAATAATTGTCAGCACCAGGCCCACTGGGCTCTTAATCTGGCCCTGGTGACCAGTGCCACCAATTAGATCTGGTGACACAAAGCTTGGATTTAAAAAAACAAAACACTTTTTTCACTGTTATAGATTGAATAGCAGTCAGTGTCCTTAAAGCGGGTGTGTTACGCTAACAGTGGATACGCTGACAAGTGCCACTAATTAGATCTGGTGTCACAATAGTTTGAATTTAAAAAAAAAATAATCTTTTTTCACTGTTATAGATTGAATAGCAGTCAGTGTCCTTAAAGCGGGTGTGTTACGCTAACAGTGGATACGCTGACCAGTGCCACTAATTAGATCTGGTGTCACAATGGCTTGGATTTAAAAAAAAAATAATCTTTTTTCACTGTTATAGATTGAATAGAAGTCAGTGTCCTTAAAGCGGGTGTGTTACACTAACAGTGGATACGCTGACAAGTGCCACTAATTAGATCTGGTGTCACAATAGCTTGGATTTAAAAACAAAAAACTTTTTTTACTGTTATAGATTGAATAGCAGTCAGTGTCCTAAAAGCGGGTGTGTTACGCTAACAGTGGATACGCTGACAAGTGCCACTAATTAGATCCTGTGTCACAATAGCTTGGATTTAAAAACAAAAAACTTTTACTGTTATAGATTGAATAGCAGTCAGTGTCCTTAAAGCGGGTGTGTTACGCTAACAGTGGATACGCTGACAAGTGCCACTAATTAAGATCT